ACAAACGGTCGTGTCGTTAGCAGTATGTCTGTGGAAGAGAATAAGATTTCAGTCTTTGCTTCTGTGGAACCCATAGAGCTTGATGCAGCTGCTCTCCACAGTCTCTTGACTGCACTCAATCGACCAGAAATATCTAGTGTCGTTTCCGATATCCGTGACGATATCAAAGCAATACAAGCACATATTGAGGAAATATTCGGTCCTAGCAGCAGTCCAGTGCCAGATTCACCACCGAAAGCCGGTCCTGCTCTAATATACGATGCTCACCTAACCTTTGCAGGTTTAGATGTTTATGCAAATGCGGAACCATCGCGGGAGGGAAAAACCACGGCAAGACTTGAGTTCAACGTTGGATGCGTGCAACTTCTAGTTGCAAATAGGCTGGAGGCACATGGGGCAACATATGAATTTCCAGAGATTCATGTAAACTTGCATCGCATTATGTTTGAGTTGTCTCGCCTCAACAATGGGACTATGGAACCTTGCGGAAATCTTGCATTCGCTGCATTCATGACTGCCACGAGCAAAAAGAACGAAATAGGGGACGATGTTAGATCATTTAATCTTACTAGCAATGGCCTCGAAATCAACCTTTTCGCGGAAACTGCATCTTCTGTGGTAGATGTCATGGGTCATTTGCAAAACAAAATCAAAGACATCGACTTCACTAGAGAAAAACAGTATTTTAAGAAACTTCGTAAGTCCAGACCAAGGATTACAGTCAACGATGAGACCAAAGATCATGATAGCGTTACTGGCTCAACGTCTACCATTATGTTTGCTTCGATGTACACTCTCGAATTGCTCAACATCCAAGTTAGTTGGCTGGTTGGCAATACCGAAAACGATCGCATTTCGCACTTTGAGAAGGAAAATCTGGTTTTATCATTGAAACGTATTGATTTATCAACAAGGAAGGAGAATTCTGCTCGACTTACCATTGAAGACTTACAACTGCAAATGGTACCCTCATCACATGACAAAATCCAACGTTCGCTTAACTCAGCTTTATTGCCAGAAGTTATCTTCAATGTTGGATATATTTCTGGTCAAAATACCCGTAGGTTAGCATTTCAAGCAGCAGGAAAATCCCTTGATTTGCGACTGACTTCTCAATTCATCATACCTGCCGCTGAGCTTCAACGATCAATTGGATCTGCTACCGAAATGGTACGGGTAGCATCAGCTACATGGAGTGCAAGCCCACCACCGACACTACTACCGTCAACGCCTTCCAACAAAAGGCAGCCCTTCTTCGGGAAGAAACGTATGGAGTCTTTACTAGTGGATGCGGACTTTGCTGGAGCTGTTGTATACCTGTCGGGTAGGAAACTGGCAGAGACTACGCAGACAAATCAAGCAGGCATAAAAGGTCGCGTGCCTCATGCTGGAAGATATGGGCAATTTACACATAAAGACGCCGGTAGTAGCACAGTCTTACGTGCGCCTGGTCTGGCTTGGAAAATAGAGTACACAGATAATGGACTTGATGACCCGTCTCTGAATGCTGAGGTGAAAGTGGACGCTTCGACAAACATACTCTATCCATCAGTTGTGCCTCTCATCTTAGAGATATCTTCCTCAGTCAAAGACATTGTAAGCGAGAATAGCAAGGATAAAAAGTCGGTGCCAAAAACATCGCCACAAAAATTCATGGGCTCCGATGACGACAACATTTTGGCAGCCGATCCCAGTACTGTGCTTGGCCGCACTCGTCTCAATCTAGGGCTTAGAATTTGTAAGCAAGAGTTCACTCTCAGCTGTCAGCCTATAGCTCGTGTTGCTGCTAGCGCGCGATTCGACGAAATCTATTTGACTATCAACACGGTCCGATCCACTGAGCATGGGCATTTCTTTGCTGCATCCGTTGCTTTTTCAAGGCTGCAAGCTTCAGTACAACATGTTTACTCCAGGGAATCTACGGGAAGCTTTGATGTTGAATCAATTTTCCTATCTCTCATGAATAGTAAGCATGTGAGTGGCACCAGTGGAATGTCTGCAATATTAAAGATTAGTCCTATGAAAGTCTTAATCAATGCCAAGCAATTACAAGATTTCCTGCTCTTTAGGGAGATTTGGGTTCCACAAGAGTTGCGTGAAGGCTCTACAGCTCCTGTATCGTCAACTGACAGCATACAATCATCAACTTTTCTCGTGCAGAGATACCAGCAAGTTGCAGCAACTGGTGCCTTCCCTTGGAATGCTACAGTCTCTATTGCTGAGCTGGACGTTCAATTGGATCTCGGCCAGGCAATTGGCAAATCTGCTTTTATTATATCAAATTTCTGGATTTCATCCAAAAAGAATTCGGATTGGGAGCAAAATCTGTGTCTCGGCTTTGAGAAAGTTGGTGTTGACAGTTCAGGCAGAATGAGTGGGTTCGTGGCGCTTCAGGATTTCAAAGTACGCACCTCTATCCAGTGGCCAGCACGCGAGAAAGCACTGAATCAAACACCATTAGTTCAAGGCTCTTTGGGTTTCAGTCAATTAAGAGTCAAGGCCGCATTTGATTATCAAGCCTTCTTAGTCGCGGATATCACATCTTTCGAATTCCTTATGTATAATGTTCGTAATGGCACGCAGGCGAAGGGAGATCGACTCGTTGCCATTTTAGATGGGGAAGCCGTACAGATTTTCTGCACGGCAACGACCGCATCGCAAGCACTCGCTTTATACCAAGCATTCTTGCGTCTTGCTCAAGAGAAGAAGAGTAATTATGAAACGTCCCTTTCGGAAATTGAAAAATACATTAAACGTAAATCGATCTCTCAGACAATGTCACCCAATCCCAAAACGCCTGTTACGGAGCGGAAACCAGAAAAGTCGAAATCACCCGTATCACTGCACACTGATGTGATCGTCACACTCAAAGCATTGAATATAGGGGCGTTTCCAAGCACATTCTCCGACCACCAAGTCTTCAAAATCGAGGCACTCAATGCACAGGCACGATTTGCGGTAACCATGGATCGGGGAAAGATTCATAGCATTTTGGGTCTCACTCTTGGTCAACTTCGCATTGGGCTTGCTGGAGTGAAGCAAGACGAGGCGCCAAAGTCCGTTAGCGACCTTTCTGTAGAAGATGTGGTCAATAGTGTCACGGGATCTCGGGGTGGTACCATATTGAAAGTCCCCCAGGTCGAGGCCACGATGCAAACCTGGCAGGTTCCCGGTTCCAATCACATCGATTACATATTCAAAAGCTCCTTTGAAGGGAAGGTTGAGGTTGGATGGAATTATTCCCGTGTCAGCTATATTCGTAGCATGTACGGTACACACACAAAAGCATTAGCACAAAGACTAGGAAAGCCTCTACCACCTTCGGCCTTGAAAATCACGGGTGTGCCAAACGCAGAAGACCCACAAAGTAAAGAGGGTGAGCAACAAAAGATTACGGCCGAGGTCAACGTTCCTCTATCAAAATATGAATACACAGCCCTTGAGCCCCCTGTCATCGAGACTCCTCTTCTTCAGAGTCTCGGTGAAGCCACACCACCTTTGGAGTTTTTTGGGTTACATCGAGATCGACTTCCAAATCTTACACATCAAATAGTGATTGTCGCGTTACTAGAATTGGCTGGGGAGGTAGAGGATGCTTATGAAAAGATTTTAGGATCCTCTTGAGTACATTTAAACTTTGCGAATCACTTATTCATGTGTCAATTCCACGCATGATCTTTACAAATAACCGCGATGGAGTTGGGGTGATCTTTCTGACGGAAGACTAGAGGTTGGTCCTAGGGTAGATAGTTGAGTTTATACCATTAATAGTAGCCTATTAATATTCAATTTATTGTTTTTGATATAAAAGCTTCGCTTGTATTTGAGTTCATATCATGACGGAAGTTGCTGGGTACTGTAGAGCTAATTAGTAATTGGATACCATGTTACTGATTCTGTAATAAGGTAATCATTGATGTTCACATCAATTGAATCCATTCCTCAATTCTGACGCAGACCAAGTTTGTCATGCCGGTAAGGCGGTGGTGAGTCAGGAGGAGGGGTAAATGTTGACCGGGTGAATGACCTAGTAGGTACTCTGAGGTGCTTCTTTGTGGTGACCTACTATTGATGATCCAATTGTGAGTAGATAAATCATGAATTCTTTGATACAGTCACATACTAGATAAAAATCCTGAGATGTAGTGGAGCTTCTGCGTGGACCCATGATATGGAATTCACATACAAATCACATTGAGTTGTTGTTGATGTGCATTGTAATTTGTAAGCCCCTCCCCCCACCAAGTGTATCGAGTACATCTAGTAAACGAGGAGGGTGAAGTTAAAACTTGAACATGAACGAAGTACACCTAGGTGCTTTTCTACAGTACAGTAGGATATACAGTCATGCTAACACGTGTACGGTGACCGGAACAGCGCGGAATGATAATGTACCCTTTACTAATACACTTATTATAGAATGGGCCAATTATAACAGAAGTAAAGAATACTACATACTACATACCGTACACCTCCGTATGGGTATTCACTCCGTTTCATCACACTTCATAAATGGGATGAATTAAATTATTTGAATGACAATCCTGCTTACAATGGGCAGGTGGATGCCATTCATTCTCATTCCCAAAACCTCAACTAGGGCACTAACCCTTTTAAGGCATGAATTATAGTTGCCTAGCCACCTAACTCGGTGCAAAAAAATTAAGTGAAAAATTTCCAGATTACAATTGGAACCCCGCCACTTTTTACTTGCCCCACCCGAGATCTTTTCCTACCAAATTCTTGCCCACCTTTATACAAGACTTCCTTCTCTTCCCCTCTTCTTCTTCCTCTCATTCTACATCGAAAGTATCACCAAATCTTTCTTTGTATTATCTCTCTATCCCAAATACTTTTGGGTCTGTAGCAGGTATCTACAAACTATTTACGATACTTCAAGTGGTTCAATAAACCACTCAAGTATCTATTCGTTCGAGCGTGTGTCGAACGTCAAAACAATAAATCTTCTTTAATCAGCTTCTCGAAGCACCACCGCCAACATGGTTAAGTAAGTCCAATTTTTCCATCTCTCTTAACATCATACCATCTGTGGCAGATACATAGATCAAACTATTGACTCGCAAATCACCACAAGTATCTTTGATCATCTTGTTTTGATGGATTAAGGATCTTGAAATGATAAGCTCGGGATGGAGGATTCGGAGATAAGCTCATGCTATTAACTATGAATTGTTTGCTAACGACTGTTCTCTTGATAGCTTCACCGTTGAGGAGGTCCGCCAATTGATGGACAAGGCTACGAACGTTCGTAACATGTCCGTCATTGCCCACGTCGACCACGGAAAATCTACCCTTACCGATTCCTTGCTCTCCAAGGCTGGTATTATCTCCGCCGCAAAGGCTGGTGATGCCAGAGCTACCGATACCCGTGCCGATGAACAAGAGCGTGGTATTACTATCAAGTCCACTGCCATCTCCCTCTACGGTAACCTCCCAGACGAGGACGACTTGAAGGACATTGTTGGCCAAAAGACCGACGGAAGAGATTTCTTGATCAACTTGATCGATTCACCTGGTCACGTTGATTTCTCCTCTGAAGTTACTGCCGCTCTCCGTGTCACTGATGGTGCTCTCGTTGTCGTCGATACCATTGAAGGTGTCTGTGTGCAAACTGAGACCGTCCTCCGTCAAGCTCTTGGTGAGCGTATTAAGCCTGTTGTTATCATCAACAAGGTCGATCGTGCTCTCCTCGAGTTGCAAGTTTCCAAGGAAGATCTTTACCAATCTTTCTCGAGAACCATCGAGTCCGTCAACGTCGTTATCTCTACCTACTTCGACAAAACTTTGGGTGATGTCCAAGTTTACCCAGGTAAGGGAACGGTTGCTTTCGGTTCCGGTCTCCACGGCTGGGCTTTCACCATCAGACAATTCGCTCAAAGATACGCCAAGAAATTCGGTGTTGACAGAAACAAGATGATGGAGCGTCTCTGGGGCGACAACTACTTCAACCCACACACCAAGAAGTGGACCACCAAGTCTTCTCACGAGGGTAAGGAGTTGGAGCGTGCTTTCAACCAGTTCATTCTCGACCCAATTTTCCGTATCTTCGCTGCTGTCATGAACTTCAAGAAGGACGAGATCCCAACTCTCCTCGAGAAGCTTAACATCAAGCTTTCTCCAGATGACAAGGACAAGGAGGGCAAGCAACTTCTCAAGGTTGTTATGCGTACTTTCTTGCCAGCTGCTGATGCTCTTTTGGAGATGTTGATTCTCCATCTCCCATCCCCAGTTACCGCCCAAAAGTACCGTGCTGAGACCTTGTACGAGGGTCCTCCAGATGATGAGGCCTGCATTGGTATCCGTGACTGTGACCCCAAGGCTCCTCTTATGTTGTACGTCTCCAAGATGGTACCAACATCTGATAAGGGACGTTTCTACGCTTTCGGTCGTGTCTTCGCTGGTACCGTCCGTTCCGGTTTGAAGGTCCGTATCCAGGGTCCTAACTACACCCCTGGTAAGAAGGATGATTTGTTCATCAAGGCCATCCAACGTGTCGTTCTCATGATGGGTGGTAAGGTCGACCCTATCGATGACGTTCCAGCCGGTAACATTCTCGGATTGGTCGGTATCGATCAATTCTTGTTGAAGTCTGGTACCCTCACCACCAGTGATACCGCTCACAACTTGAAGGTCATGAAGTTCTCTGTCTCCCCTGTCGTCCAACGTTCAGTTGAGGTCAAGAACGCTCAAGATCTCCCCAAGCTTGTCGAAGGTCTCAAGCGTCTCTCCAAGTCCGATCCTTGTGTTTTGACTTTCATCTCCGAATCCGGTGAGCACGTTGTTGCTGGTGCCGGTGAGTTGCATTTGGAAATTTGCTTGAAGGATCTCGAGGAGGACCACGCTGGTGTTCCTCTCCGTATCTCCGACCCTGTCGTTCCATACCGTGAGACCGTCACTGGCAAGTCCAGCATGACTGCTCTTTCCAAATCCCCCAACAAGCACAACCGTCTCTACATGATCGCCGAGCCTCTTGACGAGGAGGTTTCCAAGCAGATCGAAGCCGGAAAGATCGGTCCCCGTGATGATTTCAAGGCTCGTGCCCGTATCTTGGCCGATGAGCACGGATGGGATGTCACTGATGCCCGTAAGATTTGGTGTTTCGGTCCAGATACCAACGGTGCCAACTTGTTGGTTGATCAAACCAAGGCTGTTCAATACTTGAACGAAATCAAGGATTCCGTCGTTTCCGGTTTCCAATGGGCTTCGAGAGAAGGTCCAATTGCCGAAGAGCCAATGAGATCTTGCAGATTCAACATTATGGATGTTACCCTCCACGCTGATGCTATCCATCGTGGTTCCGGACAAGTCATGCCAACCACCCGTCGTGTCTTGTACGCTTCTACCCTCTTGGCTGAGCCAGGTCTCCTCGAGCCAGTCTTCTTGGTCGAGATTCAAGTACCAGAATCTGCCATGGGTGGTGTTTACGGTGTTCTCACCAGAAGAAGAGGTCACGTCTTCGCTGAGGAGCAACGTCCAGGAACTCCTCTTTTCACCATTAAGGCATACTTGCCAGTCGGTGAATCTTTCGGATTCAACGCTGATCTCCGTTCCCACACCTCCGGTCAAGCTTTCCCACAATCCATCTTCGATCATTGGCAAATTCTTCCAGGTGGATCACCAATTGACCCAACCTCCAAGACTGGACAAATCGTCCAAGAGCTCCGTAAACGTAAGGGTATCAAGGTTGAGGTTCCAGGTTACGAGAACGTAAGTTTACATCATATCATAACCCCTTGCAAAAAAACATTTGACTAATCATTTCAATAGTACTATGACAAGCTATAAAGAACGAATTTCCAAAATAAAAGATACCGTCCTTTCCATATTCCCATGCACATTTCACATCAAGATTATCTCAAGCTCCGGCGCTTTCATGATTTTCTGAGCGAATGCTCGTTGACCATTTCGGCTTGATAGCCAATCTGGTATAAAAAGCTAGCCGCACGCCATGTGATGGACAGATGAGCCTTTTCACACTTCTTGAGCTTCTGTTTCATTTCGAGTCTTCATGTATTTAGCAGCATGGCGAATTGAAGGATTTCAAAAACATGATTTATGACATTTAATAATGGTACCCTATGAATTGGTGAAACTATAAAATATAAATGTGAAAATATATATTTATTTCATGCTCGAACTGAAATATTTCTAAAACGAGAGTAGTCTTTTGAATAGTTTCGACCTTTCACCTGATTTATGCTGGGTATTGAAGCCAATGGCTGGAGTTCCAGTAATACACCTATGTCAACGAAAGACTCCAACAATCTCACATTTGCCTGATGACAATTCAAGGTTGCGAATATCAGTGTTAAAATAACAGCAATCAGAATAATGGTAGGGATTTCCCATCATCCTCTCCCTCGGAAACCCACTCACTTCATCCAACAACTCCACCAGACGAATCTCAAGACCATCGATCTGTGAAGAAGAATCCACTCACTCGTTTACTCGCCCTTCCTTCCAAATTCTTCAAAAATCTACAAGATTTCGATTACCCATTCTATTCATTAGCTATGCATACATATTCAAAGTAGCAAGTCAAGTCTACCTAATATCCAAAATAATAGAGATAAAAAAGTCCGCCCCCCAAAAGCCAAAAGGAAACTTCGCCTCGGGAGGGGCTCGAACCCTCAACCTTGGGCTTAAAAGGCCCACGCGCTAACCAATTGTGCCACCGAGGCGTGGTGCTGGTACTATTACCTGTGTGATAGGATGTTTGTCCTATTTGATGGTGCGGAGGGAGGCATTGGGATATATGTATGTAATATTTTGTATTTTACGGTGGAGGGTTGTGTGACGGGCGGGATGGGGTGGGGTGGAGTGTTTGAACTTTGTTGGAAGTGGAGTGTATTGGATGGATGGGTGGGTGGGGTTTGTTGGTGGGATTTTGGGTTGAGTTCTTTTGTTTGTGTGGAATGGGATGGGAATCAAGGAGAGAGTGTAAAGGAGAGAGAGGACTTGGCTGGTGTATATTATTTGTATGTAGTACAATGTCGTAAAAATAGGATGTAAATCAAGATGAGCATTTGCTCTTGGTATTTATTGTTCATGGAGCGAACTAGCCACTGTTATACTCGAAGAAGAAAAAAAATCCATGCATTCAGGCCTAACTCCTATCTGCCCAGTGCCTGCATGCTTGCTCCCTAGCCCATAATGGAATAAACTCCTAAATTCTTGGTACCCGAATAATACATCCAATCCAACCCCGAACTCTCTTCAGATACTCCGGGGCGTAGCATTCACAGAGATCTCGAGTGAGAATTCTTCTCGGGTCTTCAGTCGATCAATCGCCACATCGTATCCATTTTCCTCTCTCCATTAGTCAACCAGGTGGACATCTTTCCGCGAACTAAATCAATGAAACTCCAAGACTCCTATGTCTCAAGCTCTTTCTGTCTCTGATAAAGCTTTCATTTTTCCCTTGCTGCTATCCTTCTCATCAATCGCAACCCTATGAGATCGACTCCTACTTCTTGTTCTCTGTCTTCTCCTTGGAACCTCCTTGTCAGCTGAATGGCCCTTGCTACGAGAACGGGAGGGTGATTGACCTCTCCGGGTTTTTGAGCGCGGAGAGCAAAGAAGGAGAGATGATGATGGGGAGGGAGTTGTTGTTGTTGTCGTTGTTGTAGCTGTAGCGTGAGTCTTTTGGTATTTGGTTTTAGGGGCTGTGGCTGTAAGGGATGTCATGGTTTCGTTTGCGTTTGCGTTTGCGTTTGTGGATTTGGGGTTGAGGGGTGAGGATAATGACAATGGTGAGGAGGTTGTTAAATGAGACGTCTGGGGTGATCGATAACGAACTCGACCTCTAAAATTCGTGGATGTACTGGTTGTGATGGGTGGTGGAGAAGCAGCAGAAGAGCGGCGACGTTTACGACCACGGTGAGGGGAAGGTTCGTTGGAAGGTGGGTGGGTTGCGGGACGAGGATCAACAGATGACATTGTTCACGGTGGAGTTGAAGGATTAGTATGTATGTCAGGAGTTTCTTTGTTTGTCTCGATAAAGCTCTGGGGATCCAGTTTGCAAGGTTCGAGCTTTGGAGGTAAAGCCGTCTATTGTAATTGATGTTGGGTAGTCAATTAACTATGATCTTGCATTAGTTTGTTCCTTGAGTAATACTCGAAGAGTTAATGCGCATGGGATATTGTACATAAAGAGTGGTAGTCCGTCTCTATATGAGTGGTCAGAGGTCAGAGGCTGAACGATGAATTGATGGTGAATGGTGCCAGCGAACGTCAAAATATCAGGGGTTCAATGTCGATCTTCTAGTGGCACAGTATCAAGAGACATATCGAAGTATAGTGATAGGATTCAAATATGCAGAGCAGACGGAGCTCTGGTGTTGGAGTAGTAGGATGTTGAATCTTGAAGAAGGGGTTCATGCAAGGAATCAATCTTAGATATTTTGAGTTGAAAAGAATTAGATATAAGCAACGAATTATGGTCTTTCAAATTATTAGTAGTTGGGATGAGATTTCTTGTTCGTTTTGAAAAGAATACCATGATAGGTACGAATAGATATACAATAATAACATAATAACTGGTCAAGCTTCCCTCTTCATGGGTGATAAGTAGATGCGGGGAAGTTGACGATCACCTAAAAGGGGGCTTTGACGAATCAAAGAACTTGTTTTGTTTCATGGCTTTGTGTTTGCGCTGATATAATCGGCACGAAAACGTAGGCACTCGCTGTATATTCACATCCATGGTAACATACTGGATAGACCAGTGATTATAATAAAGTAACAAATATCTGTTGTGCTATGCAATTGACGTACCTACATAGGTAGGTGTCCGCTCATTCAAATGTTGTGTTATGTGATGTATGAGGCAGCGCAGCATCGGGGAAAATAAATTTGGCGAGCCTCGTTTTCTTCGCAGGCAGTGAGTGGACTTGAATCAGAAATACCAAATACCTTCAATTTTCAGACGGGAATCACTTTTTGCAAGTTCTCTATACTAAATCTTTGAATTCTCAAAATCCCTTCACCCATATCGACAATGTTTTCACGACCAGCTGTTAGAGCTTCAAGGATTTACTGCCGCTGCTATGCAACCTCTGCCAGTACCCCTCCGCCTATGCTCTTGAAGATCAGGTCAGTACACACGACACGTAGTTCGTTATTCTTATTTTTAGGGGGCAATTGTGCTAATATGAGTGTATTAATAGGAATGACATGAAGACTGCCATGAAAAATAAAGATAGCAATCGACTCTCAGTCCTTCGATCACTCCTCAGTCAAACACTCAATGCCTCTAAAACTTCCTCACCTATCAATACCGATATGCAGATGTTAGCTCTCCTCCGGAAAACTGCGAATGCCAGTCGAGCTGCAAGTGAAGAATTCAAGGCAGCAGGTAGAGAAGATCTAGTTGAGAAGGAAGAACAACAATTGAAGGTCTTGGAAGAATATGCTAGTGGTGTTGAGACAGTTGGTGAGGAAGAGATCAGAAATACAGTCAAGGATCTTGTCAATGGAATGAAGGCTGAGGGGGCAAAGATGCAGATGGGAGATGTATTGAAAAGAGTATTTGCTCCCGAAGTGTTGGGAGAAAAGAATGTAGAAAAGGGGGAGGTCGCAAAGATAGTAAAGGAGATTATGGCAGCATCGTAAGGGCTTTGACCAATGTCTCAATTGTACGAGAAGATGTAAAATTCGCAAAGCCTCAATATCATAGACATCAATTCAACTCAATCATCGTTACAATGTCTGGATTGATGTTATGGTGTTCAATCCAATTGACTCCCTTTGACATCGAATGTACAGAGAACGATACCTACTAGTATACTGAGTATCCATCGACACAAGTTTATCAATCATCGTGTTTCTTCATGATTTGATATCTTTGGGGATAAATTCTTCAGCCTTGTGTTCTCCACCCTTTTGATTGGATAAGGATATTGATAAGTGACGCGACCCGGGGCCACGGTGACTACCTGGCATGTTGTGAATCTAGAGCTTGTAACATGCTTAGTTCCACCGCTCCTGGAAATGCCTCATAACCATAAATAAATGATTCTACTTCATGGCGACTTCAATACTAATCAAATATCATACTTAATATGCCAAGATTTCGACCAGCTACCACGGGTTATGCCCAAATTGCCCAAGCCGAAGAGTTCAGCGATGACGAAGATGAGGACCCCCTCGCTGCCAGCCATGCTTCCTTACAACCAGCAACCGCACCACGATATGCCTCTATTTCACAACCTCGACCACATGGCGGAATGTATACAGATGGATACAGTTCACCGACAAATAATCGAAAGTTTGGACATACGAGAAGGCGAAGTCGTATGGGAAGCAATGCCTCCGGTGTGGACATCAAAGCTATAAATGCTAGATTGGAACGATGGGCCGACGAGATAGCATCCAAATTTAAAATCAATAAAGTAAAGGGGAAATCACATCAGGAGGAAAAACTGGAAATCCAGCACTCAGTATTTCAAGCACCGGAAGGTATGCGACCCGTTACTGCTGATACTTTGGCATCGGAGCCCGATCATGGACGAATGACGAAATCGGAATTTGAGGAGGTTGTTGAAAGTGTTCGAGTTGCGATTGAGCAGGGTATGCATCCGAAAATGATATCTCAGGGTAGTTCTGGAAGTTACTTCGCTCGAAACAGTGATGGAAAAGTAGTCGGTGTGTTCAAACCGAAGGATGAGGAACCGTACGCCGCAGGAAATCCGAAATGGAATAAATGGATCCATCGCAATTTGTTTCCATGCTTCTTTGGCAGAGCATGTCTTATTCCCAATTTGAGTTATGTCTCCGAAGCCGCAGCATACACGCTTGACTGTAGGTTACGAACTCACCTTGTGCCCTACACCGACATAGTTCACTTATCTTCGAAATCTTTCCACTATGATTTTTGGGATCGAAGGAAGTTTTACAGGAGTACAAAGCCTCTGCCCCAAAGGTTGGCAGTTTCCAAGTCTTCCTTAAAGGTTTCAAGGACGCGAATATCTTCCTCCGTGAACACCCTTGGCCAGATCATGCAAATGGAGCATTTAGATTGAACGATACTCACAGAAACAAAAGAGGGTGGAAAGAGACTTGCCGTCCAGGTTCATCAAAGTCAGACGAGGGTAATGAAGGAGCAGGGGCTAGCAGCCCTACCGGATCTGGAGATGGTAATCAAAACCGACGTTTTGCTTGGACAGATGCATTACAACAATCATTTCGAGAGGAGTTGGAGAAACTGGTTATATTGGATTATATAATGCGAAATACAGACAGAGGTCTTGATAATTGGATGATCAAAATCGACTGGGAAAATCAGGGCGTTTCCATCGTTTCAGACCCTCCACAAATGAGGACCAATCCAGACTCAGAACACGCACCACGAGTAGTTTCTAGCTCTGATAACATCAGCATGTCTCATCTACCGGCATATCCTTACCGTAGTCAAGAGCCTATGGAAGCTACCAGTAGATCGGCTACACCGTCTAGAATGGCAGCACCAACCATATCCATTGGTGCAATTGATAATAGTTTATCGTGGCCTTGGAAGCATCCTGATGCTTGGCGAAGTTTCCCCTTTGGATGGTTATTCTTACCTGTATCACTGATTGGACAACCATTTTCTCAAAAAACTCGGGAACACTTTCTTCCCTTGCTTACTTCAAAGCAATGGTGGAGCGAGACTCAGCTAGAGTTAAGAAAAGTATTCAGTCAAGACGCAGATTTTCAAGAACGCATGTTCGCTAGACAGATTGCTGTCATGAAAGGACAAGCTTGGAATGTCGTCGAAACCCTCAAAACCGTGGATCATGGTCCTTTAGAGTTGACTCGAAGACCAAGAGTTTGCGTTTGGGATGATCTTGTTGATATACCTGTTGCGGTTCCTATGAGAGTGCCTTCTGCAGAAATGCGAAGACGTAATGAGGCTCGCAATAGCCTTGATGACGAAATGGATATTAGTGCCGCCAATGCGCCAGCACCGCAACCAGATCTTCTTGGACTTGCAAGTCCATCTACAGAATTACCAAATCCAAACCGATTCGAGTTGGCTAGTCCACGATATAGCGAAGAGCCTTCCCCTGACCTCGAGTCTTCTGAGCCAACATCTGCAAATACAGGATTCTCTCGAGATAATACTTCCAAGGATGGAGTGAGGTTCTCGGATCGACCACACCTTCAACATTCTAGAAACCGTATGAGTTATGATGGGCCTGCAAGGTCACCAAACGGCAACAATTTTGAAGCGAGAAGATTTTCATTTGGCTCGAGGAGTCGCGGAGCTGTTCAAACATTGTATGATGGTGATGACCTCGAAGGAGACTTGGGATATGCAGCAGCTGAAGGAATGGAGGGAAATCAAAGGAAGGTCATAGTAGAAAGACTTGAAACGGTCAAAAGCAAAAACCCCGTCTTTACATGGTGTTAATGGGGAAAAGGAATGATGATCCGCAAAGGAATAAATGAGTACGAATATGTATATTATCTCTCGGAAGGCGGCGGGCGCATGATTTTTATTTTTTTTGCAAATGGGCGTCAAAATAGTCTCGGGATAGATATCTTCGGGACAGTAATCATATGGGTCAATGGGGGTAGCATGATTTTTTATGAAATTGGTTCGCTTACAATGAAATATTATTGAAACATCAAGATGCTTGTGTTGTTGTTTCTCCCCCCCCTTTTCGGCAAATCATGACTATCTAGGTATCTAGAGCTTGGTACGAATGTCTCACTAGATTGATTGTGATTGATACTGGTATTGATAGTATACTATTGTTATTATTAATATTTAATAAACCCGTAAGTTGCTTGGGATGGCGGAAATGAAAATAGGTCTTCATGGGATGGATGGATACTCTGATTGCTAGGTAGTCAATAGTACTAAGCGACAATCTTCGTTCGTATTTCTCTTCAATTGGATGTGAAGTGGAAATTTGTGTAAAATTCTGTTCTTTGCCTTTCTCTGGGTTTGTGAGTTTGTGAGATTATTGGCTTTGGAATGGCTGGGTTTTAGGGGTAAGAAGTAGGTGGTTAGGTAGTGGGTGGTAGGTAGGTAGGTAGTAGGTGTCTGAGAACTTCTTAACTGCTGAGAGATGTTCATTCGTTGAAGTGTGGGTATATATATATATATGTGTGTGTGTGTGTGTGTGTTTAGAGAGAAGGAAACCGAGAAAGGGAAAGAAGCAATGAGGATGGCTTATTGATGCGCTTTCTGTGATATGATGAATTTTGATAGTATGTAGGAGGTAGAAGGTAGGGGGTAGGTAATAGATAGATAGTAGTAGGTAAATGCTCCATGACCTATCATCAATTCGATTTCAATTTGATGTAAAGTGAAGAGAGGAAATAGTGATATACGTCTGATGCTGCATCAGATAACAATACATGCACAAGCTAGCTACTGCTTTCGGATGTCTTTTAATAGCATATTATTGTTTGGTTATTGAGGCTTATCATGTGTTGTGAACCTTTTTTATATGGTTTTACTTTGAAGTTCCTCTTGTATTGAAATTCTGGTTTTTTTTCTTTGAATCTGATGGGGGTTTAATTGTTGACTCGTGTTTTGTTAATCGGGAGAGGAGCAGATGAGATGGGGAAGGAGGTCATGCTCGGATCTCTGCTGGTGTATATGTATTTTGTTTTAGTCTGTCCGAGTAAACGTGTAAGCGAATCTATGGTACGGACCCTGGTTCGGCAAAATGGCACATCATGAATGCTCATGAGAGTCTGCTGATGACGATAGTTGATGATTGATTGCGGATAGTAGAAAATGTACTAAATCTCGCTAAGGTCATGTAAGAGTAGAATATTTGACTTTGTGTTAGGATTCTTTGCGCGCGAGTCAAACTATGAGGACATCTCTAATCCTGCTGTACTGAAAGCATTTGGATTTCAGGTGTAATTCTCTCTTCAGGCGTGGAAGAACTTAGATGTATTTATTGTTAGCAGTAAACCTGAACTTGAAAGTTAAATTTGACATCTGTGATCTCTTTGAGCATAAAAAGTATTAAACGAAGTTGTAGTGAGAATGAATTAGGACTCGAACTACTCGTATGAGTCTTGTCTCCTGAATTATCTGATAGTAAGACTAGCATAAGCAGGATAGTGTTTATATATGGGTTAACAGCAGTCTATACTGAACGGATTGTTAGATGTAACTCAAATACTTACAAACAGGAAACGGTGCGGAAGGGTGTTTATAGCGAAGCGGGACTTGCTTTACTAGTGTAGATAAAAGATAAAAAAGGATAGAATTAGATTATATTTATGTAACCTTATAAAGCAGGCAGGCGACAGAGCGTAGTGTAAAGTCATGCGACCTAATCGTCTTGACCTTGATTGGTTGCGTTTACCACGTATAGAGTGTCTCCATCGTGAAGCCGAAAAGGGTAATTTCAAGGGAAATCACGAAACACACACTGGTATGGCTGACGCAAATAATGGTATCCAACAAGATATGGCCCCTCCAACAAAACCAAACTTAACTTTCCGTTCTGACCGGAAACATTCAAGTTCACGATGAAGTATCCGAACTACCTATAATACTGAAGAAAATGTTTTTAGATTTTGAACATGATCCGAGATGAAGACATGCTCAAGAAGAAGATTTCAGATGTAAGCGACCTTGTTGTGGTATTAGTATCTACTTGAAGAAAGCTGATCTATTCCAGACGAAAACATGTGTCTTCGAGTAGAGAACAATTTCTTTCGTGCGATCACACCACCTCCTCAACAAGGGCTGTCATTACCTCAAGAGCCCCATATCTCCCAAGGAGACTTGCGAAGGCTGCTCGATATATCACCGATAAGTGGTGTGTCAGAAAGCTATATTGAGCAAACCAACCAAGATCTAGCGCACGCCTTCAGATCTAAGCAGCGGTTTGAACTAGCAGGCCAGGAGTTGCCCGAACTTATCATAAAATCTTTACAGTTTAGACAATGGCTAGTCAACCCAGTATCCAGAGAGCTTCTCATCCATGGGAATGGATCATCCGAGCCGACATCTCCTCTCACTTTCTTCTGCTCCCTGTTGATCAAGAATATGATCAGTATGGACCGCTTCCGTACCGTCTTTTTCTTCTGCGGATCTCATACACGATCACACGATCCCTATTCCGGAGGCATTTCAATGATCAAGAGCTTTCTCGCGCAATTACTTTCACAGGACCAGTTCGATTTGAAATTCCTAAGTCTTGATAACATCGAGCAGATTAAGGCAATAATCTTGAAGCGCTTCGATGGCTTTTCAAGACTCTCGTGCAACACTTGGATAGAGGGATAACCTTGTTTTGTATCGTTGATGGCATTGATTTTTACTGTGATCATCGTGGCCCTCATTTCGAAGATATGGAATCGGTGGTGGATTCTTGTTTAGAGCTTCGAGAGGCGACCAATATGCGAGCGACCTTTAAGCTGCTCATATCTTGCTCTTCAAGTACGGAGCTTAGTAAATATATAAAGGGTGACTGCTTTTTGAATTTGACTCCAGGGGAACGAACAGGTGTCGAATTCAGCTCATCGCGATTTGAAAGAGAATTTGGCAATGAATTTCCAGAAAAGTATAATTGAGGTTCTGAGATTACAAACGAGACTCGCCACTAGTATTTGAATCCGACCTTCTCATTACCAACACTATTCTTAACTTCTAAGGCTCTGGATCATCCCATGTTTTGTCTCATCGAAACCTTCACGTTCTAGTCGGCTTTTGTTAACGCCGACTGGTTCCCAGTTAGTGAAAGCGAGTGTCCTAAGCGAGTGTTCCGTAACATATTCAGTCCACGAGGAGCTCGGAGTTGAGCTAGAATAACAATCTTTGTGACATTGTAATTAGCTCAATGAGAGTGACAAATCTATTAGTATATCTAGTAGTTTCTATTGATATGATTTTGAGGGTGACGCAGTAAGTAAAGGGATACTCGCTATTACTAACTGGAAACTAGGCGACCAAGCCTTCGGAGGCTGGGGGACCACGTGATACACAGAAGAAATGAGAAGTGGTGACTCAAGAATTTAGATGACCCGATTACAGTCTATTTAGTCTTCTTTTGTTTATGATGGCGATGGTGATCTGAGAATGAGAACATGAATGGGCATGAGAATGGGAGATGGCGATGTGAGAGGACTTGATGCACGTGAACGATGTCGAATGTACCCAAGTAGCGGCCGAAACATCTCGAACCTGCTTTATTGTACAAGTAAACTCTGGTATAATTGAAAGTTGCCTAGGTAGGTATCTATCTTTGTAATGAATATCTACATCATACACAGGATCAACCGACATGCCTATCTAGGTAAATAACTTGAAGAACTTCTCAAAAATGATACATTGTTGCTTACTAATTGCTTTGTACCTAAAAACTCACGGAAATTTTCTATCACATCTATCGCCGTGCCTCCTCTCTCTCCCGACTCCGTACATATCCATACATCTACTCTCCTTCGTACTTTTACCTATATAATAAACTCATTACTCATTCACACATAAGAAATTCTATAAATATTCACGAAACTCAAAAAACTCAGTGAATATACGAAGATCAAACAGAATGATCACATTCCGATGATTTTAGTTTCATCGACTTTTTCTTTTTCCTACTTACTTTTGCACAATCCTCCCTAGTGATAAATATTGCCCCTCCTGTGAATTTATCGGCTCGATTACTACAATTACCTGCCATTACAACCACATCATAACCATACACACATACAGTACATACGACACACAACTTGATGCATGCGACCGTGACGAACATTCAAGGTTATCTACCATAAAGGAGAATTATGGCCTCAATGAATAACAACTTCTCTGGTAATTTCCCAATACTCGCAACCGGAGAGTCCCTACATTCACACCAAGGCAAACTATCTGGAAGTTCAGACCTACGCCCAAATTACCCTACCGATTTTGATAAACCTGTTACTTACAATTTCTCTGTCGCACAAGGCCAGAACCCTCCAAGATCGAGACCGAATCAAAATGAGAACAATCCCGGTATACCACTTTCGAATGGTCATGCCACAAATGCCCAAAATTGGAGTCCCGCGCAGCTGCTAAATCCTCGAAGTATTAATCAAAACTCACGACCCTCGCCCAGTTTATCACCTCATCCGCGACCAAAAATTACACCAGCAGGATCTGCTCCCCAGCCTCTATTCCAATTCGACACCCCCGGCGGATCGTATACGCCGTCACCTCCCTCGAACCCGAATTATAACGTGAACTCGAACTCGAATGGCCAGAATGGCTTTGCATCATACGCGAACCCAAGTGGGCAGATGCCGGGCGTGGGAAGTTTTGTGGATCGAATGCATAATATTACAGATCGCGATATGGTCCCTCAAAAACGCCGAAGAGTAGAAGACTTGACCGGGGAGGGAAGCAGAGCACAATTTAATGGAAGTTCTAGTGGAGGTGCATACGGACAATATGTGAAAAACAGGAGGGTTGAAGGCTCGAAGGATGGCTGTACCAAACAAGTACTCGACTTATCTTTAGTGGATGACGATGATGTTGTAGTTGTCGGGAATGAGCAGGATAGGGAAGTTTGCTACGGACGTATTGAAGGATCTCAACTCAACGCTCATCGAGTACCAACCCCAAAACCTGGAGCCCAATCACTTATACCCGAAAATTGGCCGCAGATAAAGATTGTCTTGAGAAGGAAGGAAGGGGATAAGACGAATAATATCCACGCTCTCGATTGTACTCGCGAAATTATTGGCTGTGTCGATGTGAATACTGCAATTGGACTCGCACCCATCCTCGACTCCCCAAAAATGGGCGTCAGAACAGCTGCCCGTATTCTTACAAGAAGAAAGGCGCCTGATGACCAGCCAGTGGGTTCCCCATGCTCTGTACGTTATAATTTGGATTTGAATCTTTACGGACCAAAAAAGCACGCTCTTCAAATTGGCCGACATCTTTCTCACAAACAATTGTGGTTACGAACCCCACTTTCTGTAGAAGCCGGCATTCCATTGCACAATCCTCATGCTATAGAAAAGCCTTCAAGGGCCTTACAGCCCACATCTAGTACATACTCGTCTTACGCATCTCGTTCTCAGGCCCCTGTTCGGACGACTGAAGAAATCCGAAATGACGTATTAGGAGTTTTCGACTCATTGCCGAGATCTGAGAATTTACCAGAGATGGAGCCAAGTTCTTTGATTACTACGGAGCTGCTCAAACATCAAAAACAGGGTCTCTACTTCATGATAAATAGAGAAAAGGAGCGAAATTATGAGATAAATGACAAATGCGATTTGTGGAAACTCAGACATGGGAACAATGGGCAGAGAATATACTATAATGTTATCACCGGTGATGAGGAACGCAAAAGTCCACCACAGGTACTTGGTGGAATTCTGGCCGATATGATGGGACTTGGCAAAACTCTCAGCATTCTCTCCTTGGTAGCTACAACACTGGATGATTCAAGAGACTGGGCAAAGCAGAGACCATCACAATCCGATCAGAGAGAGCAGCCAGTTCTCAAATCAGGCAAGGCTGCCGCTCAGCCCAAGTTCGAACCCGCAACTCTCGCTTTGAACTGCAAAACTACCCTTTTAGTTGCTCCGCTCAGTGTCATCTCCAATTGGGAAGATCAGATCAAGGCGCATATCAAACCTGATGCTTTGAAGTATTATATCTATCATGGCGCTAATCGTATCAAGGATGTTACGAGATTGTCAGAGTATGATATGGTCATTACTACATATGGTTCTGTCGCTAGCGAATGCAATAACAGGAACAAAAAGAAAGATGGTAAATATCCTCTCGAGGAGATGAATTGGTTTCGAATTGTACTCGATGAAGCTCATATGATTCGGGAACAATCAACTTTGCAATTCAAGGCTATTTGTAGGCTTTCAGCACAGCGTCGATGGGCATGCACAGGTACACCAGTTCAGAATCGACTGGAGGACTTAGGTGCTCTGATGAATTTCCTTCGCGTCAAACCATTCAACGGAAGCGGGTTTGCCCAACACATACTATCCCCTTTCAAGATTTGCGATCCTGAAATCATTCCCAAACTTCGATTGTTAGTTGACAGCATTACTCTTCGTCGACTCAAAGACAAAATTGACCTCCCTAAGCGTCATGATCAAATTGCTAGGCTAGACTTCAGTGATGAAGAGCGTATGGTCTATGATATCTTTGAAAAGAATGCAACAGATAGGCTTAAAGTTATCACTTCTCAGGGAGAAAGCGCATTGGGAGGCAAAACCTTTCATCACATTTTGCAATCAATATTGCGTCTTCGTCAAGTCTGCGCTCATGGCAAGGATTTGTTGAGTCCCGAAGATTTAAAAATTATGAACGGTCTAAGCAAGGACTCCGCTATCGATCTTGATAGTGAAGAATACGAAGATCAAGATGGAATGACACCCAAACAGGCTTATGAAATGTATAAGTTGATGAGAGATACGGGTACAGATAGCTGCTTGACATGCAATCGAAAGATTGGCTCTCAGGATGTTGTCGATTCTGATGGCGAATCTAAGGAGGAAGTTATTGGTTACATGACACCATGTTTCCATATCATTTGTGGCTTGTGCATTGGTGCTTACAAAGCTCAATTGGAAGAGATGGCTTTTGGTGGTTCTTTAGTCGGATGTCCTACTTGTCACCAACAAATCTCTCCGTCTATGTTCTTTTCTCTGAAACAAGAGGAAGTAGACAAGGAAGAAGAATCTCGATTGAAAACCAAGGAATCGGCAAAAGCAGGCAAGGATTTATCAAATTATGGTGGACCTCATACTAAGACAATAGCTTTAATCCATGATCTTCTGGCATCCAGAAGGGAATCACAAGCAAGACCGAACGAGCCACCAATCAAAAGTGTTGTCTTTTCTGGTTGGACAACTCATCTTGACCTTATTCAACTCGCTTTGCAGGAGAATAATATTCCTTACACACGTCTCGATGGTAAAATGACTCGTATCGCTCGCTCAATGGCCATGGAAAAATTTCGCGATGATCCATCAATCGTTGTTATTCTAGTTTCTATCGCTGCAGGTGGCCTCGGTCTTAATCTCACCACAGCTAATAAGGTCTATGTCATGGAACCTCAATTCAACCCTGCAGCTGAAGCTCAAGCTATTGATCGTGTACATCGATTGGGTCAAAAGAGAGAGGTACAGACAGTACGATTTATTATGAACAAGAGTTTCGAGGAAAAAATGTTGCAAATCCAAGATAAAAAACAAAAGCTGGCGAGCTTGAGTATGGATTCCCAGAAGGGAAGGTTGGATAAAAAGGAAGCGTCGATTAGGAGATTG